GAGAGAGAGAGAGAGAGAGAGAGAGAGAGAGAGAGAGAGAGAGATATCGTTAGTGCCCTCCTGAAGTGTGGTACTAGGGCACAACTTCTGACTAAAAGGAGCAACTGTGGATCCAGGAGAATACATTGATCGGCTGTAGAATGATCGAGTCTCACCTCCTTTGAGTCAGAAAAGCCAGGCACACAGTGGTGGGGCAGCTTGCTAGCTTCTGAGGTGCGAGGGAGAGCTGGCTAAGACTGTGTTCCTCAGGAAGGCCCACCATGAAGCGGAATGGACAGTACATGCTGCATTTTCTTTTTTTCTCCTTCCCCAGTGACAGCGAGAGCAAAACTAGCATTGTTAAGGTGATCCGTTCTATTCTGAGAGAGAACTTCAGGCGCCACATAAAGTGCGAGTTACCGCTGGAGAAGACGTGTAAGGATCGTCTGGTACCTCTTAAGAACAGAGTTCCCGTTTCGGCCAAATTAGGTGAGAATTCCATTAGCTCTGTTTTAAAGGCGAAAACATGAGGTTGTAATACAGCTATGAGAACCATGCCCCTGCTCCCGTCATCCTTTCATTAAATACAGCTACCCCCAGCCCCACATCCCTTCTCCTATCAGTGGCCATCTTGTTTCTTCCTCTGAGAAGAACAGGAGTTGGTGGAGGGCTTGGCTTTGCCAGGCCTCCAGGTCCAAACTTAATTCGGATCACAAGACTGAGTGAAGTTATTCCTCTGCAATCATTGCCAGCAGGTCGTCAGCCAGAACATCATTGCTGTTGTTCATCTTTCCGCCTACTTTACAAATTTAATGTTTCCTTTCTTCTTCTAAAATGTAAATTGCTTCCTGGTGGTGCTAAGGATGGAACCCAGGACCTTTTTCTCAACACTAGGCTGGCACTCTACCACCGAGCTACATTCCGGAGATCTCTGCTCTTGTTTGTAATCTTACAGGGCACACATTTTCTCCCTCTCAGTCCCCTATTGGATCTCTCTAGATCTTTTTTCTGTTCTGTTGTCAAAATCGTCTATGGTCATCAAAACTAATATGGCGCTAATGGATTATAGGACCATTCAAACTAAGAATTCTCTTTGAACAGAAGCAATCTCTCTCTCACACACACACTCTCTCTCTCTCTCACACACATACACATATACGATTAAATGTGCACAATGTTAATTCTCTTAAAGTTGGTTATAAAATCCAGCAATACTCAAGAGAGGAGACTTTGGAGCATCTAGGGAAATAAACAGGGAAGCTTAGCATAGAGATACGGTATATTTTCAGATAATAAGATACTATAGTAAAAGAATATAACAAATTTTTATTAGTGATTAACTATTCAATTGACTCATTAGCAAAGTAGTAATTCTAGCCCTTATGATAGTTGGTACTTCATTATTCTATCCATATGTGTGAAGTTCTGGGAATCTTAAAAGTTTCAGGTATGCCTGGGAGTGTCGCTCAGTGGGCACAGTGCTTGCCTGGCATTCAGCAAACTCTTGATCTCTTGGCTACCAGAGACCCAACAACAAAAGCCCTACAGCCATGAGTCAATTCATTGTTTGACATAACTACCTGGGTTGGCCACCTAAATGCCCAGATAGATGACTGAATTCACATAAAATCTTCACACGAGTATCAGAACCCCCAAGGCCCTAACCCTACACTGTTGAATCTGTTCCTGTGCCATACGTTGAAATGTGCTTTTCTCTCTAGCTTCCTCCAGGTCTCTGAAGGTCCTCAGGACATCCTCCAGCAGCGAGTGGCCCAGTGAGCCCAGCAAGGGCAACTCACTGGACTCGGATGAGTGTAGCCTGAGCAGCGGCACCCAGAGCAGCGGCTGCCCAGTCGCCGAGAACAGGCAAGACTGCAAGAGCACCGTGCCGGAGAGAGACCCTCCGGAGAGCCTGGAGGAGTTTCCAGACGGTCTCATCAAAGAAAGCGACATTCTGAGTGATGACGACGAGGACTTCCACCAGCCTCTGAAACAGGGCAGCCCGACTAAGGACATCGAGCTTCAGTTTCAGAGACTGAGGATCTCTGAGGAACCCGACATGCAGCAGCCTACCACAGGACCAGGCGAGCAGCCCCGGCTGGTCAGGGGCCACTTCTGCCCCATTAAACGAAAAGCCAACAGCACCAAGAGGGGCAGAGGAACTCTGCTCAAGACGCAGACTCGTCACCAGTCCCTTGACAGCCACCCTGAGGCTGCCAGCCTCGATCTCAATTTGGTTCTGGAGCGCGAATTCAGTGTCCAGAGTTTAACTTCCGTCGTTAACGAGGAGTGTTTTTATGAAGCACAGAGCCATGGCAAATCATAGGACCTGTGTGGAGGGTGACAATGCTCGTTAGGATTTAAACTGGTGGGAAAACAGAAACTGCAGGAAACCATCTGTGTTTGGGTTTTATGCAGTACATATTTTCCCACAACACTCGTTGTAAAGATTTAAGTTATTTTAATTTATTGTGGATCAGGAAACTAGAGATTAAGTTGGTTAGAATCTGTAAATTACTTAGCTTATATCCCTTTTGAGCAGGAATCAAATGATGTAGTCTTGTAATAAAACTGAATTCTAATTATTTTAAGTTATGTGGGAAAAGTAAGATTGGGAAGTTGTGATTAATAGCTTTTAAAAGGGTCCCTTCTTCAATCCTCTGGGCATTTTCTTTGAGCTGTTAGTTTTTTGCTTTATTTAAAGCATATCTAAGTTATCTTCATGTGGTTTTAGGGGCACAATGTGCAGATACTTCATTTTTGCAGGTTGTAATAAATGCTGTTTATACTAAACATGTCGTATCTATGCAGTGTATATATATACATATTAAAGGAAAGCTTGGACTGTATCTACTGGATATTTATTTTCCTAAGTAAGAATGGCAGGTAGGTCACTGGCGTCTGTCTTTACAGAGTGACGGGGAAGTAAGCACGTGCGTAGAGGACCCGCGCACTGTGGGTGTGGAGCCCTAAGAGCAGCCGTCAGGACTCACAGCTTCCCATGCCATCTTCTTTCTCCTGGCTCTTTCTCCGCTTCCTCTTGAGCTCGTCTCTGAAGTTATAAGTAAAGAGCTGTGGGTCTTCATCACACATTCTTCTGTATACATCACACAGGCTCTTAAAATGCATGAGCGAGAGGTGGGTAGGCCGGAGAGTCGGGTCGACGTCTGCCAACTCTAACAGTCTTCCAGTGCTTTCGAGGCGCTGAGCTTCAGGGAATAACATTCTGAAAGGAAAGTGTATGGGGGAGTGGGCTTTACTCACGTCACTCGAGAAACATCTTTGTATAAACTTCAAAAGGACACACTGATAGATGCCTGAGCCTGTTGGAGCCTCTTGGGTACCCAAAGACTCTGGACTCACTGGAGGCAAGTCTAAGCTAAGATTTGCAAGGTGTATCCAACAAAGGGAAAACTATCTCTCCAAGCTAAAACAAATGGAAAAGTTTTATGATATCTTATTTGATAAATTTCAATTTGGTTTTGATTCTCTAGATCCTGGATGTATTTAAAGTCTTCAAAGCCCCTTATTCCAAGAGTGACTGGTTTTGCAAAGTGTTGTCTGTTATCATCTTTAAAACTCAAAGTGTGCATTTTAAATTCCATTTAATTAAAGAGTGAGCTTAGATGCCTCAAACTTGCAGAAGTGTGCCTGGACCTTGACCATGGAGCTCATCCAAAGGCCTTGGCCGAGGCCATGGTCAGAGAAGGATGAAGTCTCCTAGGCTGATGATGACACACTTCTCCACCTTTAAGGTGAGGTGACTTAGATCATGAGTTCAGTTCTAGGATAAAGAGGGTCTGGCAATTTTTTTTAACACCTGGGACCACATTGTAGTATGGTGTGACTGAAAGATACCAACAATCATCCTTCAAAGTCAATTTTGGTGTTTGGTCCATGTCTGTATAGAGGAAGGTGGACTGAAATGAATAGGGCCATTACTTGGTTGGGGGGTGGGGTGTTGCTTTGGAAACAGTAGGACTACGCTCGGCCAATTAACTCCAGGGTTTTCAAAAGTAAGATGTACTTCTTGTGATTCTCATCACCTTGAATTAGAGCTACTATGTACAGATGTAGGAGTTATACTTACAAATGGCAGGCTGAGAGTCAACGCTCATAATAAAACATCCTTAAAGAGGGTTTCACGAGTTGCACTAGTTTCAGGACACACCTGAAATCATTTCGCGCACTAACCCACACTTCCCACATCCCTACAGAGAACCAAAATGGATCTGTGTAGGTCTTAGAAAATGAACACTGTGCACTACAAGCTGAGCCCTCCTTTTACGCAGCTATCTTCTGACTGTAATTGTACCGACCTAAACATCTTGAAACCCGCTAGATAAGAAGGAATTGGTATAGTCGCTGCAGGGCTACGGCTCAGTCTTACTTTTCCGGAAGGCCCAGGTGCCTGTGTGGAACAGTGAGCCTGACAGAACAGAAGAGCTCCCGCTGAGTGGAGGCGGAAGACACTGTGAGGATGACGACGACGTGGCTGCTGAGACGGTGCGCCTGTTGTCTAGTTCTCCAGTGTGTCCGAAGGGAGAGACAGCTAATCAGTACAGACTGAGTGCTGCCTGAGCGGCCAGGGCCTTCCTAGCAGCAAGTCAGCAGAGGCTGTGTACTTGGGGGGTTTTAGGTTGTATTTAGGACCAGACCAAACCTGTATGTGGCATCTAAGGTGAACTCAGGGCTTTTCCTCAGTGGTGGCTACATGGTGCTCACCACAGGATCTAAACCAAGAGTCATACATGCCTTTAAAAAGTCATAAGTAAAAAGGATTCTTACCCAAGCCCTCGGTGGCAGTACTTCCTTCGGAACTGGAACACGTTCTGAACAACCTTCTCGACCAGCTTGAAAGGCTGCTTGATCTTGGGCTGTATCAACGGTGTAAAGTGGACCACTCCTACGTCAACCTTCATTGAGAACAAACATATTACCATATGGCAAAAATGTGACTGAAATTTCCCCCCCTAGTCCTGAGGATCAAACCCAGGGCTTCCTGCATGCTTGGCAAGCACTCTAGCTCCAAGCTATGTCCCTCCCTTAAACAATTTATCTTTGGAAATCACAGGAGCATGGGCTCTCTAGCAGTGCTCAGGGCACATAAGCAGCCAAGTTTTGGGTGGCTGCAAAAATCCCACGGGGCTGCAACTATGATGCATCCTGGCGTCTACAAGACCCGTGCCGGATGGTCACTTCATTTTAAACTGGAATGACAACAGCCTGTATAAGCCTGTCTGCACGACTGTCAAGGCCGTTAGGCAGGCAGCAGTTGACAGCGGGCATTTCAGCTTTTGGAAGCATACAATAAGCTGCAGTAGCAGCTTTGACTGCAGGGCTGGGATCCCCCAAGGACCACTTAGTGCTGAACTCTCCAGAAAGGGATGAGTAGGACACCAGCTATTTTGAGTACTGATGCTGATTACTCAGCTGAACTGAATTCATGTGCAGAGTTCACGCAGCAAAGAACTTTCAGTAGCAACTTTACATGCACCAGGAGGCAGAGGCAGAACTGACAGGGAAGACCGAGTTTTTAAAATGTCACTGTTGGACAGTGTTTATGCGACTACCAGCTGTTGAGGCCACTGACTAACCAGAAGACTAACTTTTCAGGCCTATGTGGTAAAAGTTATCTCTGGTCTTTTTCTAAAAACGGACTCATGAATGAATCATTACTGTAACACAGGAAAAAAGCAAAGTAAAGACGGGGAGCAGTGGGTCAGAGCAATCGTGGTGAGCACCCCCACACAGAGGCCCGGCAGACTCCACAGAAGGGGAAGCCTGTCACTGAGTAAAGCCCTGGCCTCGGCCCCGTTACCAAGCACAATTCAGGCGGCGTGGGCAGTGCTGCTGCTTGTCAAAAGGAAGTCTTGTTCTCCAGTCCCTTCAGGCTGTCATTTTCTCTCAGGTTGAACTGTTTCCCAGAAATTTTGTGGCTACAAAATTCCTTTAAAATGGCCAATAACGTGTGTGTGCATGTGGGGTGTGTGTGTGTGTGTGTGTGTGCGCGCGCACACACACACACACACACACACACACACACACACACACACACACACTGGTTTATTTTTATGTGGGAAGAAAAATAAGGGGCTAAGATGTAAGAACTGGAGATAACCTCAGCCTCGGGTGAAGGGGCTCCCTGGGAACTGCAGTGGTGTCTCCCACAGTCTGTCCCCCATTGCCAGGCAGCTGACCCACAGACCCTCCTCTCCTCTCCATACACAAGCATGGCTCCTGTAGCTATACCAACTGGACGTAACTGACAGTAGATCTTTGACCACAGGGATGGTGTGGGTGGACACACAAGATCGTTCTCGACAAAAGTGAAACTGTCCACGGGAGGGCCTTTCTACACCCGGGGAGGGGAAGTAGAAGAGATCTGCTGGGTAAACTGGGGGTGGGGGATAGGAACTTGAGGGAGCGGGTTGGAGGCAGGACACGGAGGAGGAGAGTAATGAAAGAGACATCTTGATGGAGGAGCATTTTGGGGTTAGGGAGAAACCGGTGCCAGGGAAATGCCCAGGAATCCTCCACAAGGATGACCTCCACTAAGACCCCTAGCAATAGTGACGAGGGTACCTGAACTGGCCATCTACTGTAATCAGTTTGGTGACTACCCTAATTGTCATCAGAGAGCCTTCATTCAGTAACTGACTGAAGCAGATGCAGAGATCCACATCCAAGCACTGGGTTGAGCTCCTGGAATCTGGCTGAAGAAAGGGAGGAGGGATTTACAAGGGGGAGGTGGGGTGTCAAGGTCATGACGGGAACACACAGAGGCAGCTGACCTGAGCTCCTGGAAGCTCATGGACTCTGGACCAACAGTTAGGGTAACTGCATGGGACCAACCTAGGCTCTCTGCATTTGTGTGACAGTTGTACAACTTGGTCTATTTGTAAGGCTCCTAGTAGTGAGACCAGGACTGCCTCTGGTGCCTAGCTGACTTTTGGGAACCTGTTCCCCATGATGGATTATCTCGTCCAGCCTTGATGCAGGTGGAGGAGTTCAGTTCTGCCTCAACGTGATGTGCCATGCTTTGTTCAAGCCCATGGAGGAGTGAGGAGGAGTGAATGGGGAGGCGGGGGGAGGAGAATGGAGGGGTGGGAGGAAGGAGGGGAAACTGGTCAGTATGTAAAATAAATGGAAAAAAAAGTTAAATAAAAAATCCACCAAACTCCAGACCTCTTTGAAGATTATTATGGTGAACAGTTGCTATAAATACTAGTACAGTATTAAATGTTCTTAATAACATTCCCTCCCTCACCTCTTTATTAAAACATTTAATAACACTTTCAATGGTGTTATATAAGTTGCTTTATCAATTCCTCTTGTTAACATACACTTCCTGTAAGACTGTCTTAGGCCTGCACAAAACACACCGAGGTGGTTTAGAGAGACTAGTAAAGAGGGAGTGGTGGAGACAGATTGGGGCTTTTAGAACGTAGGTACCACTACAGGGAGAGAAGGAAGGATAGCTCATTTTTAGGGTACTCCTGGAAGGAAGGAACATGGTCCTTAAACTGGGAAAGGAGAAGCAGCCAAGATTTACCACAGTGACTGCCAAAGAACCATCCGACCTCCCACAAACCCTGACATGCCCGTCTTCACCACTCATCTTGATTCTCCAGGTCTGGGAAGGTCCTAGCACGTCTTCTATACTTCACCGATTGTCATTCTGCGAGGCCCTGGACCCTACATTTGCACCCACTGGCATCCCGCCTCGCCTCTCTGCCACCTTCTGCAGCCACCTCTGATGTTTCTCACCCGATTCTCCCAATACACAGTCAACTCTAAGAACTTCTACTGTGGTCTCAGTGTCAAATCACCGTTCAGCAACAAAACA